CCCTCTTACATTGCTGGTGGGACTGTAAAGTGTTTCAACCACTGTGGAAAATGATATGGTTCTTCCTCAGCAAGTTGGAAATAGAAATACTGTATTACTCAGCAATTCATCTACTTCCTATATATCTACAAGAGTTGGGACGCTGAATAAAGGAGACCACAGAGAAATCAATGCATTTGAATTCTTGCGTTGGTAAAGGATATTCAAAGTACCACGGAACAAATGAATCTTTCTTGAAAGAAGTAACAGTCAGAAGACTCTTTACAATGGAAGTGGAGGATCAGCGAAAAAGAGGACGACTCCCTATGAGATGGATTCACACAGTGGCAGCAACAATGATCTCAAACATGATGACAATTGTGAGGATGGCACAGGACTAAGTAATGTTCATTTTGTTGTATCTAGGATTGCTATGAGTTGGAACTGACTCAAGGGCACCTAAAGCAACAACATGTTCTTCACAGCACTACTCACAGTAGCAAAAAAAAAAGAAACAACAATGTTCTTTGATATAAGAATGGACACGTACACTTTGGCACTTTGGTACATACACTCAACAATGGAATACAATGCAACTTTAAAGAATGTCAATGAATCTGAAAAGCTCATAACACAGATGAACTTGGAGGTAATTATGCTGAGTGAAACTAAGCTTCTTTAAACTCCAGAACAAGTTTCAGTCTCTTCCTACATCCATTTTGTCTTTTCTTTCTTTCTTGATTTTTAAGTAACTTTTTGCTTTCTTCATGTGTGATGCTCTGTGATATAAATCCACAACCCTACTGTTCTTTGATCACTGGTGTCTAAAGCATCAAATCTGTTCTTCAGATGGTCTCTAAATTCACCTAAGGATATACTCAAGGTTCTATTTGGGCGCTCGTGGGATTCTTGTAATTTTCTTCAGCTTCAATTTGAACTTGCACACGTGCAATTGATGGTCTGTTCTACAGCTGACCCCTGGCCTTGTTGCCACAGATGTAGCCTATTTGTTTTCTGTTTATCCACCTGACGAGGTCCTCATGTATAATTGCTGTTTATGGTGTGGGAAAGTGGTATTTGCAATGAATTAAGTCACTGTTCTTGCAAAATATCATGTGATTTCTAGCATCATTTGTATCACCAAGGTCCTCCTATCTTCTAACTTCTTATTCTTCATCCGTTTCCAACTTTTGAATGCCAATCACCAGTAATTATCAATACATTTTGACTGCATGTTTGATTAATTTCAGACTGAAGGAGTTGGTAGGATTCTTTAATTTTATTATCATTGGTTTTAATGGTTGGAGTTTAAATTTAAATAATACTGCAAATTAAGTGGTTTACCATGTACATGTAGTGTAACGACATTATTCCATCTCAAGACATTACATTTCAAGATAGTTCTTGAGACTGATGATCTTTTTGATGTGAAACCGATGCCATTCCTCTTCAATTTGTTGTTCCCTACACATAGTAAACCATACGATGGATTCAAAATGGCCAATACCAGTACATTTTAATTCACTAATGCCTATGATATCATTCTTTATGTGTCCCATTTCTTTTTTGATGACTTTCAATTTTCCTAGATTTATACTTTGAACATTCCATGTTCAGGTTACTAATGGATGGTTGCAGCTGTTTCTTCTCATTTTGAGTTTTGCCCCAGCAACAAATAGGGTCCTAAAGGTTTGCTCTATCCACTTCATTAAAGTAATCTCTACTTTGAAGGGGCAATTTTTCCCCAGTAGTATTTTGAATGTCTTCCAACCTAAGGGGCTCATCTTCTGGCTGTATGTTAGACAATGTTCAAAAAATTTTCAGTGACTACCTACCCATTTGGAAGTGGTCTGCCTTTTCTTCTTCTCCTCAGTCTGCCTTAGTCTCAAAGCTCTGCTGAAATCTGTCCACCATGACTAAGAATTTGGCAGAATTCTTCAATTTTACCATCACTGGCTTTAGTGTTTGGTGTGTAAACTTAAATAATAGTGGTTTTCAATGATCTTCCTTACAGTATTGATATCATCTTATCAAAAACAGCATTGCATATCAAGATATATTCTGAAATGCTCTTTTTGATGATGATTGAGACACAAGTCTTCAACAATGTGTCATCATTTCAGGCACAGTAAACCATCTTTGTCTGATTTAAAATGGCCATTTTAGTTCACTAATGTCTAGGATATTGATCTTTATGTATTCCATTTCATTTTTGATGACTTCCAATTTTCCTAGATTCATACTTTGTACATTCCATGTTCCAGTTATTAATGGATGTTTGTAGCTGTTTCTTCTCATTTTGAGTTGTGCCCCACCAGCAAATGAAGGCTCTGAAATCTTTGCTCCATCTATGTCAGTTAAGTCAACTCTACTTTAAGGAGACAGGTTTTCCCAGTGGTATTCTGAATGCCTTCCAACCTCAGGGGCTTATCTTCTGGCCCTATGTCAGACAATGTTCCAATGTTATTCATAAAGTTTGCAGCAGCTAACCATTCAGAAGTGCTCCACCTCTCCTTCTTCCAAATAGGTTTTGTCTGGACCCTGCACTGAAACTTGTCCATCATGGGTGACTCTGCTGATATTGAAAATGCCAGTGATATAGCTTCCAGCATCACAGCAACATACAAGTCACCATCGTATGACAAACTTAATGATGTGTGGGGTCAGTTTTATTAGAGACTGCCATGTTTCTTGAAATTGTTAGCATGAATTTAACCAGTAGCTGTAAATGTGAAGAACTTCCACTATTCTGTATTCTTTCTGGCATATGATAGTATTAAACTTAAGCATCTTATACCAGTTTGTGGCTTGTTTTTCATTTTCTGTCTTTTGATATTAAAGACATCTAAAATTTTCTCACATTTAATTTCTTAATTTATTTGATTTTAATCTAGAATATGCTCTATGTCTGTAATGTAATTAATATTTTATTGACAACGAACATGAATACTTAACCACGTATCAAGCATAATGAATAATGAGGATAACTAGTATTAATTTTGAGGCACTTGTTATTGGTAGGAACTACAATTACAAAGACGGAGAAAGAATTTTTTTAAAAAGACCAGTTCTGTACTCAGGTGTTCTTAATAGTGGTTAATTGAAGAATTTACACTAGCCCAATTATCTGCAATATTGCTTCTTCCATAGATTGGTTTCCAGCATATGCTCTAATATGTATTTTCGCATTCTCAAGGATATCGACTGGTCTATCTACATCAATACTAGAACGTATTATTACAAATTTATAGTAAGTTTTCAAATGTTTAAACAGACCAAAAAAAAAAAAGATTTTGTGTCCCTCAAACTGTTTTTGTAAACAAACTTATTTTCGTAAGGGCCAAAAAAATATTTTAGGTTTCACAGGCCAAACGGTATTTGTTATTGCTATGCATCTTCATTGTTTCGGTAAAAAACATAGCTATAAATAACAAAGAAACAAATGAGTATGACTATGTAGTATAGAAACAAATGAGCATGGCTGTGTCCTAATAAAACTTTATTTACAAAGAAGACAGCAAATTGAATTTGTCCTATAAACTGGATTGTTCACCCCTGTCTGGAATACCAAGTCAGATACAGAACTTGTATGGGGCTCCAACCAAAGACTGACAACAAAAGACATACCACCTAATTAAACCATTAAGATTTAAACCTCTGTTTTCTTAAGTTCACCATCATCAGTTACGTAATTTTCCATCACGTTTGATGATGTAACCCTCTCTGTACTTCGTCCACATTTTACTTGGGAAAGTATCTACTATGCTTAATAGATTCATTGGTGATTTGTGAATTTTGCCTAGCACAAAGTAAAGTGCTCAAGTACATGTTTGTGGAATTTTGTCTGGTCTTTCTGAACAACACTGAACTTTATATAAAATAGCCCAAAACTATCAGTAATCTAACATTAGATTTTCAAATATAAGAGTATGTTAACTGCTTTAAACATATGGTTCATTGCAGTTATATGTAACACAAATCCCTAGTGATTAAGAAACTACTAGATTAACACTGAGGGCAGAATTATAGTTAATAAATATAGACCAAAAGGAGTAAACTAGTATATGCAAGAGAACTTTCTCAACCTAAGGCATCCACTGTACAATACATCTAGAATGATATTATATACCATCTCTGGCAGAATTGAGAAAATAATCACTCATTATAATTTTCTGGTCTGTGTTTCAGATGAGTAAAGCTGGTTGAAAAAAGTATCATGCAAAGTTAGAGAGTCCCTAAGTGGATGAATTCAGTAGAACTGCATAGAATGCAGGTTTTCTGATGGAGTACTCTATAACGTTCTCCGTAGTTCTTAATGCTAAGCAATGAAGAGACCTGGCAAGTAAGAAAGAGTTCAACGTCTTTCATGAGAGATGATGGGAAGCATAGTATCACTTGTTTGTATAGTTTCAATAAATGAAAGCCTATTAATTGTGGTATAATTTTCCCCCCCTTAAACCACTCTTAAAAAACAAACAAAAACTGACTCATCTAATTAATTATCTAGGAGTTTTAAAGTTTAGTAATTTATCTTTGCTTTTAGGGCTTTGTATAGCAAGTTGGAGAATAGTTTTATTACTGAAATTTTATGCTATGTGAAGAGTTAGGCTAAGGTAAATGTACAGCATTTCCGAAATTCTTTATTCTGTGTTTATTTAAAATCAACAGGAAAGAAACACATTCCTTATAAACTATGCTCTTCTATCTCAATCGTAATGAAATATTAAATGTGTTAACATGTTCTTGGTACGTAGAATGTGACCTGGCACAATACTACTTTATGCCGTTGATGTAATACGTACCATTGTATATTGGTTGTTAGGAAACAGATTACTTAATAAAATGCAGAAGTATCCCCTGAATCCCCTTGCCACACTATTAAGCTGGATCTTATGACAAATTTTTCTTAGACATATTTTCCATAGAAATAAAATTTATTATTTAATTTGTATAGCAACAAAACAGAAATAAACACTTTTTAAAGCTGTCTTAGAATGTAGGTAAGACCTTCACAAACTTACCTCCACAGATCCTACATGGGTAGCAACCATTTCTAAAAGACGCTGCAAGTTATTTCCCACTTTTCGTCTTTCTTCACTTGTGGTCTGTACAACTAGTTGGTATCTGTAGAATACACAAAACTCTGAGTAAGTCGTCCAATAAAAAAACTAACATTAGTTCTACTATCCATTTCCACATTTAATAATACCAAGCTGGGATTGTTACATGTGCTGCCTATATGTACAATTCACAAATTCAGCTACTGATCATTAAAACAGAAGTATAATCATCTAACAACAAAAGAAGTTGGTTTCACAGAATGAAATATTTACCTAAATAGTATCTATTTCCTGACTTTTAAGAGTGTTAACAACATTAAATACATCGAATTCTCTTTGGAGAAATGGCTATTTAGTTACTTTATCATAATGTAATGTTTTATCATTTTACCACTTTAGTTAGTAGACATGAGCCCAAAGTCTAGGTAAAACTTCATTTTAAGATAAAAATTTTTTAAGATACAGATTTTAAGATATAAGTTTCTAGAGGAAATAGCTTTATGTGAGCCTCCAAAAAATGAGTAATTTCAAAAGCTTTCAGGGGCAAAATGGTTAGAAGCATTCGTGAGTGGGGAGTAGGAAAGTACTGCATTGTTTATGAAGAAAGTATACGGTGGGGCCATAGTTAACTGGAAAGCATAAGTCCTGCCTTTAGATATTTAATTTCAAATTAAAAACTACCAAACAAACTGTTAACAGTTTCCTATTGCTGTTATTGTGTTCTTGAATGAATTTGGACCTACAGAATTCAAACCCACAAAGATCCTATAGAACAGGGTAGAACTGTAATCTTTAGAGGGGAGTGGGGGGGTGGTTCAGGGTAGAAGTGCAATCTTTAAAGGGAAGTAGGTATGAAGGATCAGGATAGAACTGTAATCTTTAAGGGGGTTCAGGCTAGAAGCTTAAGCTTTAGAGGGGAATTTGGGAGGTTGAGGGTAGAACTGTAAACTTCAGGGGAAGCGTGGGGGTCCAAAGTAGAACTGTCATCTTATGGGGGATTGAGGAGAGATCAGGGTAGAACTGCAATCTTTAGAGGGGAGTGTGTGTGTGGGTTCAGGGTAGAACTATAATCTTTAGTAGGAGCATGGTGGGGGCTCAGGGTAGATCTGTAATCTTTAGAGGGGAGTGTGTGGAGGTTCAGGGTAGAACAGTAATCTTTAGGGTTAAGTGTGGGAGGTTTAGGGTAGACCTGTAATCTTTAGAGGGGGGAGTTCAGGGTACAATCTTTAATCTTTAGGGGTTAGCATGAGGATTCAAGGCAGAACTATAATCTTTAGAGGCGAGTGTTGGGGGTTTAGGGTAGAAGTGTAATCTTTAGAGGGCAGTGTTCGTGAATTCTGGGTAGAATTATATTATTATTTAGGGGGGAGTTTGTGTGGGGCTCAGTGTAAAACTGTAATCTTTAGTGTGGGTTATATCATCAGATCTTTTCTCCTACAGGACAGGTAGCTGGTAGGTACAAACTGCCAACTTTTTGGTTAGAAGACAAGTGCTTAATCATCACACCATGAGGGCTCTTCACCCTAGCCTATGAATATACCTACTACTAATACTCCTCACTTACTATCTAATTATCCTCATTTCACGTTTACAACAACAGTAAAAACTCTACTACCCTACTATTTTTGCATTAGCAACATGTTTGACAGTAATGAATGACATTTCTGACAGGTGAAATATTGGTATAGTATTTCACTGCCCAGGAGGGGAGAGGGAGAAGCAGTCTCCTTGAAAGACCAAGCAGAGGGGAGACTGAGTGGAGCTGGCAGGGACAGAATGCTGCTCATTGAGTCCCGGTTGCTCACAGGAGCCTGAAGCCAGGACTGCTGCAGGAGCTCAGAGTCTGTCCTAGTTCTCAGTCCCAAATGATGGCAGAGCCAGGCCAGGCCATGGCGAAAAGGAGCCTTGAGATGGAACACTCAGGTTCCTGGGGTCCATGGGACCCTACATCAGTTGGCCAGCAACTGTGTATCCCCTTATGCTTCTTCGATGTCCTCTTCTGGGAAGATACAGGTGGAGATGGCGACTGGCCAGTGGCAGCTGCAATGTAATGTCAAGGGCAGAGACCAGGCCTGGCCATTATGGCTTTGGAGGAGGCTTTGGATTGATTCTCATGTGGCTATAGGGCACAGGACAACAGGGCTATCCAGTGAGAGCCAGGGGATGTTTGGGTAAGGGGCCAGTAGGGGGACCCAGTGGGCAGTGTAGACTCCCCATGTGGCACCCAGGCTCTCCTGCCTGTGGATAGGGAACCTGTCCTCAACAAAGCCACCAAAGGTGTTTTGAGGTCATTGAGGGGATCAGCTAGGGCCATCTTCCTGAAAATATGGTGAGGGCAGGAGAGGGAGGAGGTCCCAAAGATGGGGAGGAGGGCAGTGCTTAGATTGGAAGACTAGATGGCCCACCCCTGGGGGTGGCAGTGGGAGCTAAATTATCTTGAGATGACATGGGGGATAGAGAGGTGGCGGAGGCAGTCATCTTCATGAAGGGCCAGACAGGAAGTCATAGTATAGGTGAAGAAGTAAGCTGATGTGGTCATTCTCCAAGCTTGCACAAGCCAAGTTTTGCATAACAACCTGGTCTTTGGAACCTAACCATGTGGATAAGTGAGAAGTGGGTTTAAGGAAACAGTTGTGACTTTCTGCAGGCTTGTACTTACCATCTTAAAGTAAGACTTATTGTTATTGGAGGGTCACTTAATTGAGACTAAAGGAGCCCTGGTGGTGCACTGGCTTGTGCTCAGCTGCTAACTGAAAAGTGGTTTGAACCCACCAGCCTCTCCGCAGGATAAAGATCTGGCCATCTGTTTTCATAGGGATTTACAGTCTTGGAAACCCTATGGGGTAGCATGGGGCAGTTCTATTCTGTCCTATACAATTGCTATGAGTTGGAATTGATTCCGTGGCAATGGGTTTACTCTTCAATGTTGCTGCGGTATGCTGCTGAGTCACTTCCGGCTTGTAGCGATTCTGGTAGGGTTTCTGAGGTTGTAAATCTTTACAGAAGCAGAAACCTTCATCTTTCTCCTGCTGAGAGGCTGGTGGATTTGAACTGCTGAGTCTGTAATGAGCAGACAAACATGGAACCCACTACACTACCAGAGCTCCTGTGCTTAATGGAAACTAAAAAAAAAAAAAAAAAAGTATGTATTTTTATAACATAGAAGCTATGAATTCAGTATTTATGTTGTTATTAAGTGCCAGCAACTCAGTTCTGACTTACAATGACCCTAGATAGAGTTTCCAATAAGTGGCTGGTGGGTTTAAACTGCCGACCTTGCAGTTAGCAGTCTAGTGCTTATCCTATAGTGCTACACAGTTGTTAAGTATTGTAGAGTCAATTCTGACCCCTAGCGACCCTGTATAGGGTTTTCGAGGAGCAGCTGGTGAGCTTGACCCACCAACCTTGCAGTTCAAACGACTTTGCAGTCTGACGCATTAGCCCACAGCGCCACACCAGGACCACACTAGGACTCCAATAATTATCAGCACATACTTATATACAAATGGTTCTTTAAAGTTATTTGATTATAAATAACTTCTAGAAAAATAGTATACTAGCCAGTACTGTTGTATTTGTTTAGAAACAAAAATTTGTTCCAATTTGATTGCAATGCTTTTTCTGGGGCAGGTAATAACTCCAACAGTAGTAGAATGCATTTGTAAAGAAAGTATCCCATTATAAGCGAACTTGCAATGATTAGTATGCTGTTCCTACTTAAGCATTATTCCTCACCCCCAATAGTTCTATCATATAAATTAAAGCAAAAGAAGATAGACCCATTTTTACATGAATGTGAAGGAATTACTCTGAAACAATCTAAACTTTGGAAAGATGAACTTACTCCCGCTGAATAGCATCTAACTCATTCATGGCTTCACTGAGGCCCTCATTAACACCGCTCTCCAGGAGGTGCTTGTGTTTCTCCAAAGACTCGAGCTCATTGGCACATTTTCTGTCTTCTTCCTCAGCTTCCTGTAAGGATGAAGTCATGGTTACTGTTTTTATATATTTATATACTATATACTCCAGGTAAACTTTCAAAGCATTTTTCATCTAATTGCATTCTTTGTATTCTCAGGATGCTTATCTCTTACGTGTAAAAGACTTAAAACGCTCCTTTGGGAATTCTATACCATAAACATGATCTTTTAAACAGGCCTGTATATGCCTTATTCTGCAGTGTTTTTAAGACTGATCTATTGGAAAATTGAATGTTACTTTCTTTAAAACATTTTTCATTCTGTGAGCATAAAGGAGGGTTAATCTAAGTCAAAATATGGGTACTCTAATGCTACTATTATTTTATGTTTATAATAACAATATATATTTACCATATTTTTAGTTTATGTAAAATAATATTTTAACATCTACACCACCAAAGTAACTCTTCTCCACCCATTTCTGTTATGCCTACGTAAGATGCACCCCTCAGTGTCCCCTTTGGTAAATGTAACAAATTTTAAGGTGTGTTTCAAGCAGAGGTGATCAATAAACTCTCTGATTCTTCCTCTCCTGTTTCCCACTAAAACCACAATTAAGACGTTTGCCCACAGCCTCACTATATCTCTGCTTCAGCTTTCCCCATGTGGTCCTGCCTGCTGGACATGCTATGAACACAAAGGACTGTGCATATAAAAAATCTTTATGTAATTTTATATCTTACCAATCTTAAACATTTACTACTATATCAAGTTAAAACACTATGCTTAAACACAGTAGTCCAAATTCTTCCATTCTTAGATTTCTCAAGTCCTCTACTTAAATGTTTTAGAAAATGAACTCAAGTTGAACCTAGAACAACATAGATTTGAACTGCATTACTCCACTTAAATGCTGATTTTGTTTAAAAGGCCGTGTGACGCTAATATCTCAGCATGAGTAGTTCATCTCTCTAGTAAATTGCATTGCTAATAGCAATGAGTAGGTGTCGACTCACAGCAACACTACGCACAAGAGAATGAAACACTGCTTGGTCCTGTGCCATCCTGACAATCACTGTTATGCTTGAATACATTGCTGCTGCCACTGTGCCAATCCACCTCAGTGGAGGTCTTTCTCTTTTTCAATGACCCACCAGAAAGCATGGTCCTTTCTGATATGTCTGAAGTATGAGAGGTAAAGTCTGGCCATCCTAGCTTCTAAGGCATGAGTGCCGCCTGCACTGTATCAGTGTGTTCCAAGAGTTCAGTTTGTATTCCATCAATTACTGGAGTCTTATTTTTTGCCAATGCCTTATGAGCGGCTTCGACTTCTTCCTTCAATACTATCAGTTCCTGAATTCTTGAAATGGTTACGCATCAAATTTTGTTTCTGGTATAGTAACTGTGTATTGCTTCCATTTTCTTTGATGCTTCCTGTTTCACTCAATATTTTGCCCAAAGAATCTGTCAATATTCCAACTTTGTTATTGTTGTTGTTAAGTGCCATCGAGTTGATAGCGACTCTGTATAGGGTTTCCAAGGATCAGCTGGTGAGCTTGAACCACTGACCTTGCAGTTTAAATGACTCTGTAGTCTGATGCATTAGGTCACAGCGCCACACCAGGACTCTATTTCCAACTTTTGGTTTGAAGTTTTCCTTCAGTTCTTTTAGCTTGAGAAATGTTGAAGGTGTTGTTTCCTTTTTGCGGGGGGGTTCCTGCCCTCCGCAGGGGTCATGGGACATGAGCAAGTACGCGGAATCATCGGGTGAAGAAATGAATGAATACAACTCGAGAGGCTTTTCAACTGGCTGTTGCTGTCCTGCTATGCTCTCTAGCTTCTGCCCTTGCTTCTGCTTCCTGTTCTCTTTGCTGTCTGCCCTCTGCCTTCTCCCTCCTGCTCTCTTCTTCTTCTCCTAGCTCTGCTCTCCCTGGCTCTGTCTCTACTTCTTTCTGCCACTTCTGCCCCTTTCCTTCTTCTTCCTTCTGCTTCTTTCTGTCTGCTCAGCTCAGCAAGTCTTTATTTTTTATACTTAAAATTACACAGTACATGCATTGACACTTTTATCATTTCTTGAATTATTACACAGTTAGTCACAACATTCTTGCACCTGGTCATTAGACAACCCTGACAAAAATACTTCTATCATGTTCAGACTGACCTTCATCTTCTTTCCCAGTATGAGATAAAACTGTTTCTTCTTCTTTCTACTAAAGGATTATAAACTTTCTATCCTACATAATATGCTATTATTTTTATAATAAAGGTATTCATTAAATCACTTGGAAGCTATGTGGCACAAAGCCCAACTTGGCTAATTGCTGCAAGAAGTGTAGATTATAAAGTCAAAACTATCCTTCACTTAAGTTCATTACTGTCTACTTATTTATGCAGGTGTCAATATGTAGGGGTTTGTGAATTCTAGCTAGTGACTGATTGTGGTGAGGTCTATGGGGGTAGGTCAGCTTGACTCTAATAAGCTATCTGGTTTTGTGGCCTCACAAATGCAGTTATTTAGGTTTTCTATGAGAAGGAGTAATTTACACAATTTCTCTTTGTATTCAATCCACCAAGGCTGAAAGTAATTGCTGCTAAGCTAGTTTTTCCTAAGGTTTGTAGAACTCATAGTGAAAAGTTGAGAATATTGCCAAATTATATATATATTTATAAGTAAAATTAAGATTACTCTATAGAGAAGGTAGAAAGCAACTTCTGAGAGCTGTTTTTCCAGACCACTCTTACTATCTACCGGAACTGTGTCAAGCGGTAAATTGAAGCTGTCCTCTACCCTCATCGTTCCCAGCACCTTTTGGCTTTCTAATTCCAGGTCTTTACACATTTCTTTATTTTCTCTTTATGAGGTGCCTGACTTGTATAGGGTTTCTGAGGAGCAGCTGGTGGATTTGAACTGCAGACCTTGTATTGTTGTTGTTAAGTGCTGTTGAGTTGGTTCTGATCCATAGTGACCTTGTTCTGGGTTTCCTAGGAGCAGCTGGAGAGCTTGAATCGTCGAGCTTGAAATTTAAACCAACTTTGCAGTCTAGTGCATTAACTCAGAGTACCATACTAAGTCAAGACAAAGAGTTTTCCACTCTGACGTATGAAATATTAGGGTGGTTAAAGTTTTCACATAACCTTTGCAAGTGGTGATGATTCTACTCAGTCCTTCCAAAGGATAAATGGTAGCTAGTGGGAGAGGGAAATGGGATGTGGAATCAGTCTTGTTATTTTACCCACATCCTAGGTGTCTCATAAATGCTCTTTGGAACTGGGCCAGGATAGTCAGTTTGCAATGACTCTTAGATATTACATATACAAAAAAGCTTTATGGGTCTAATAACACTAACCCTATATAAAAACGAATATCAAATATTCCAGACCCACTGCCACTGAGCTGAGTTCGACTGATAGTGACCATGTCACCTAGGGTTCCCAAGGTGCAAATCTTCAGTAGAATAGAAAGCTTTGTCTTTCTCATGCGGACTGGCTGCTGAGTTTGAACTGCTGACCTTATAGTTAGTAATCCAGTGCTTATCCTACGGTGCTACCAGTTGTGTTTAAAAATGTTTTCATCTTGTATGAGATACTGAGTCATGTATATTCAAGTGTCAAATACTAGACAATGGAATTATAAACATGTTTTAGGTGAAATAGCTGTAATCCAGAAATAAATTCTTTAAAAATAAAATAATGTAGTTCTCACAATAGACTTTCAGAATAGATGACTAATCTGAACTACAAAGACAGTAATAAAATTTGGTTCAAAAGTTCAGTTTTGAAGTCAAAATATGAAGCTAGTCAGTTGATCCTGACACAGCTTTGGTAAACTGTTGACAAAGTAATGCAAAATGTGATGAAATTACCTTAACTTTGTGTTGGTAAAGGTCATCCAACTTCTGAACTTCTTCTTTCAGAGTTTTCACACTTCTCTTGCTTTCTGTGACCATTATATTCAACTAGGGGAATAAAATTTTGGTTTAGATACTATAAATATATAAAAAGTATTTTTTTTTGGCAAGTTATTGGATTTTTACATTGCCATTCAACTAACTGTTCTTCAATGTCGGTCAAGTCAGTTTTAACTCACAGCGACCCTGTCTAGGGTTTCTGAGGAACAGCTAGTGGGTTTGGACCACTAATCTTGTGATTTGTGGTCCAGTGATGATTCTATAGTGCCACACCAAAAGTCCTTATAATTTCTTCAGGTCCTTTTGCAATCTCACTTATCATTTGTCCAACAATTTATATTTCTCTAAGAGAATAATTTGAAAGAAACCTTTGCTTTTTAATGTATAATTTATACTTACAGTAAAAATAAAAGATAGTAAAAGAAACATACATAATGGTTTAAGGGAAATGTTGTTAAGTGCCATCGAGTAAGTGCTGACTCATAGCAACCCTGTATTGGGTTTGTGAGTAGCAGTTGGTGGGTTTGAACTGCTGACCCTGTGGTTTTCAGTCCAGTGCTGAATCTACAGGGCCACACCAGGACTCTAAGATATTTCTTTTAGCAAGATTTTTCATTCTGGTTCAAGAAATTCAGGGAGACTTAAACCTAAATGCATATAAAAGCTTATCTCCAGCTGCTTTCTGAAGATACTTCGTGAAAGAAAGTCCAACATGAAAAATATAAAACAATACAGGCAGACCGACTGATTACTACAAGAACAAACAAGTTGCTTGCCCAGGAGACATCAAGGCAAGTGGTCGGGTCCCCTCAGAGCAAATCCCATTCCAAGACTAAGACTCAATGGGAATACACGCTTTGATTGGTGACCACGTTCGTCATGGATAAGGGGAAGTGAGGGAAAAACAGCAATGAAGCTGCAAGCTAAGCCCTACCATGTTCAATAGACTCCTGTGAATCTCTGGATGGAGACCTGGCTGGCCAGCAGTGTGGCAAGACCTGGGGGGCCCCTGGGCCCAGAGTCAATGACATAGTCACAGAGGACTAGAGTAGAGAGTGAAGTGTCCAGCTGATAAGAAGAGAGGGCATATGTACAAGAACACCCACACTTGTAGACAATACCCACTCGACCTGGCTTCAATGACTGGATGATCAGAGCTCAACTAGAAGAAGAAAGATGAGGTAAAAAAAGAGTAATCTGATACAATTTGATGAACTTGACCTACACCTTTGGATGCAGAAGCTCAAAAGAGGGAACAAATCTTTACAGCAAGGATCATTCCCATCCCCTCCATACACAGAGTAGACAGGGACGACAGCTTGGACATTGGCTACCCAAAGTAGGGGGACTACAAAGAAAAGAAGTGACTGGCTTACAAGTTTTCAAGAGGGAACCTAGATCCAGAGGATGTGGAGGGGTAGACTCTCCACTGAGTAGTATCCAATCTGTCTAGGTGGGGCTGATGAAAGGAAATGCGGATAGGTCTCTTATGATACAACAGTGAATAATTGTTATCAGGACTAATTGTGAGGGTTGGAAATGTAAAGGTAGACATTTTGTAGCAAGGAGGGAGTGATTAACTTGAAGTCTAGGAGCAGAGGTCCCTGGGACCATCAAGGAAGAAGAGCAGGGAACGGGATCCTATCCAGAGAAACAGTGACGCCAGTGATGCAGGCAGAGATGATGACGTGGA